AAAATATAAAAATAAAACTGTACTAAAATTGGTATAAGCATGATGAAGTGGGCTATGTGAGCTTCACATTTGTAAAAAAGAAAGAAGATTTTTTTGGTTCGAAAATAAAATTTTGGCCTTAATCCGAAAGGGTGCGTACACATGAAAAGCTAGCTTTACAGGAGGTAAAATTTTGACAACAGCACACGACGCAAATTTGCAAAAAATCAAGTTTTACAACTTTAGGGTTCAGGGTCGTTGAAAAGTATTATGTTGTTAACTTTACTCATTCTTTATTCCAATTCTTTGTTGCGTGCATCCACTAGGGCATTGACATTTTCTTTCATCTTTGACTCAATGTATTGTTGGGATTTATTCATCTGGCCCCTGTCTTATCCGGAATGTTGTTTCGATAGCTTTGGGCCTGTTTGTTTATGCGGAACAATTGGTTTGACCGTTTATAAATGCAACAATTTCGGGTATATGCAGGCCTTGCAAGACTTTGTCAAGGCTCGCATGAAAGAAGCATCAGATTACTAGGGCCGACCTTATTTAATAAACGAACAACTGTGGTCCGACCGGCTTGACCATTTAAACGAAAACGGCCCTTGTATCAATACCTTTTAATCGTCTCTCATTGGAAATATGCAGGGCTTTCATGGAGTCGCCGATATTTTTGAGTATTGGCTGAATGCGCTTGCATATTGTGCAGTTAAAAGATATACTCGCAATGTTGTTAGCTACGAGGTGTCTGTATACTTCTCTTGGCAATTTGGAACATTCTTGACAGAAATTAAGACCACAACATTCACATGTGATGAATCCTGTCTCCTCTGCAAATAATGTGTCACACTTACCACAGCTGCATGGATCTAATTCATCTCTTCTTCTTTTACTTCTTTGGCTGTTTTGATGTATCCTGAATTAGCGTCCATCTCTCCAAAGGTTCTAGAATGTATGGATTTGATGAAGATGTTGAATAGAAGCGTCTAAATTTCATGTACAATTATTAAGAAACAGAGCTATAAGTATCCGCCGCATCCAGTATGATGCCAGTACTGGTCCGTGGTGATCACCGTCCTTCAGGAGTACATACGAGGTCCTTGTTGTTGTTTTGTTTTTCCTAGTTTTCGAGATGTACACAGATTCTCCGAGAATTTAGGAGCTGATATTCCTAACAGGATGTTGATTTCTCTTATTTCCTCGTTAGATGTTCAATCCTAAAAGACAGACAGACAGACAGACTTGCTGATTCCACTATAACCCCTAACTTCGTTGCGGTGGGTATACTAACATGTCTAAATTGCTTACTCAAGTGATGTAACAATTAGATGACTGACATGTTGAGGGTATATAAGAGTTACATAAATTATTTTTTAAAGTTACTTCGTAACTTCTATTGTGACAGTGGTTTTTTTTTACATAATGACTAGATACATAACTCACAGGTTGAAGAGACGCAGATATAAACTATAGTGATAAAAAAATCTCTTGATAATCGATGTAACACAACGTAATCCATATCAACATAGAACGTAATCCGTATCACAAGAATTAAATAGCAGTTTATGCACAAATGCAAGTCCATGTGATATATTTCTAAGGAATCAGAAAGCACGAGTTTATTGCGCGGACGAATATATAATACGTCCGCGCAATAAATGAGAGCTTTATAATTCGTTAGAAAAACACAAGTGTGTGGTCTTGCTTTTATCACATACCTTCCGTATTTGGTAGAGATCGATACAAAGATTTTATAAACTTTGATATTTTTTGCAAATACCGGACTTTTTTTAGTTCGCCATGACAAGGGGATTCCCATAAAAAGTAGTTCCGTCTAGAAGGTAAATACAACATTCCGTATTGCACCTATGCAATACAGAACGTTGCATGGTCTGAAAGTTGCTTGTATTACTATAACAAGATTCAACAGGTATGTGATTAATTCATATATTCAATAATAATAGTATTATTCGTTCTTTTATTGTAGCTATTTACTCCATTTCAATGACACGGGGAATGGTTTTATTCATCTTCATATTAAACACACGTAGATTTGTGTAGTACGTCGGAATATTCATTATTGGAGTATTAAATCTACTATGACACGTGCATGCATCTATGTTATTTAATTATTGTATATCACAACAGCAGTTCCCAGATACCTTAAAACAGGCACAAGTACTACCTATTTTTCAAGACGAATGACCCCATGAATAAAGAAAAGTATAGGCCTGTTAGCATTTTACCCACTCTTTCAAAAGTATTTGAAAGAATTGTACATACACAACTTAGTGAACCTTTTAGTATATTTTTTAATCCTTACTCAGCAGCTTTCAGAAGGGTTTTCGGTTGCCAGTCTACTCTACTGCGTCTACTTAAGGATTGGCGTCGGGCCTTCGATAATCGTCAGTATATTAGTGCAATTCTGATGGATCTGTCTAAGGCCTTTGACTGTATTCCGCACAATCTGCTATTGGAGAAGCTGCGAGCCTAAAGGCTGGATGAGACTGCAGTCAGTTTTATCGGCAGCTACCTCGGTGGCAGACAGCAGAGGGTTAGACTTGGCCCCGATGTCAGCGACTGGACGCTGTTGAGGAAGGAAGTCCCCCAGGGGTCTATTGTCGGCCCACTGATTTTTAACATTTTTCTTAATGACATTTTCACATTTCTAGAAGACAGCGTTTTGTACAATTATGCTGATGACAATATACCCTTTCATATATCAGCAACTGCTCTGTAAACCTTAAACTTACTCTAGAAAAAGAACGTAAATTTTTAATAAACTGGTTTTCAGCAAATGGTATGAAAGCAAATCCTAGTAAATTTCAGGCCATATGTATAGGGGAAAAAACCTGTGACAACATTAAATCTTTTTCTATTGGAGACCAGGTAATTGATTGTAGAAACAGGTGTGGAGATTGACTCTGTATTGAAATTTGATGACCATGTATCTAAGATCTGTAGAAATGCCTCAAACATTTAGCTATTTTGAAAAGAATTGGAAATAGTCTTACCAAAAAGGGAAAGATCACCAATTTTAAATATTTTATTTCATCTAATTTTATTTACTGCCCCCTAGCCTGGCTTTTTTGTAGCCTCAGAAACACCCGAAAGATGGAAAAGATACAAGAAAGAGCTCTGCGTTTTATTGAAAATGATTTTACCTCACCTGTGATAGATATTTCACGCAGAAATAGCCTCACATTTTTACATGTTGTTAGAATGAAGACTATGGTTACAGAAGTCTTTAAAATTTTAAATGGGTTAGCTCCAGAAGTTTTAAATGATTTGTTTCTTAAAAATAATGTTGAATATAATTTCAGGCAAGAGAACATCATTCAGGTACCAAGAGTTAACACAACAAGGTATGGACATTTATTTTCGTTTTGAGGCTGCCCAAGTGTGGAAGAGTTTGCCGAATGAACTGAGGAGAGTAGAAAACTTCCAGAGCTTTCGTAGACTGCTGCACACTTGGGACGGCCAGTTGTGTTCCTGAAAAAGATTTATGCATGTCCTTTTAAAACTACTGATAGTACTAAATTAAGATGGCTTCAATACCGAATTAACCATAGAATCTTAACTACAAACACACTCCTACAAAAAATGGGAATAAAACAAAATTCAACTTGTACTTTTTGTAAAAGATTTCCAGAAACAATTGAACATCTATTTTGGGATTGTGGTAAAGTATGTGAAATTTTGAGAGAACTAAAACAATTGCTTGCAACCAGTAATATTGATTTGAATTTTGACAAACAGGAATTTATATTTGGACAATTCAGTTCAAAGGATGCTGATTTGATAGTGGATAATCTTATCCTATTATTGANCCCCCCCTGTGTGTGTGTATGTGTGTACAGTATATAATTGGTCTCTTGTAAAGAGGTGTCCGTTGTGAAGGGAATTGTAATCAATGTAATGTATGCTTGTTGCTTTGTGTGTAAATGTGTTGTTTATAAAAAAGAAAAATTGAAAAAAAATTGCTTCTATATGCTTTTACTTCCTTTCATTTTTTGCTTAGTGCTCTTATTTACGCATTGCATGACTTACTCAATGCTTGTCAAATCATCGTTTTGATTTATGCTATATTAGCGTATATTCGGTTAATTTTTAACTCGTGCCATATTCGGTTAATTTTTAACTCGTGCCATATTCGGTTAATTTTTAACTCGTGCCATATTCGCACTGAACCTTTTTTATGGTTTCTTAGTTTGTGAGCATATGGCATGAATTGTTTGTGCAGCATCAATTTTAATATAGCTTTTTATATATAGTTTGTCCTGTACGTGCCAAGTTGTTTTAATTACTGCATGCTGTGATATTTTTTTTCTTGTCTTTGTGTGTAGAAACCTTATATGCCTGTTGTTTTCTGCATGTTGTCTTATATATCCTGTTTTTATACCTTTGTTTGTCGTAATAATAGCGCTACAGAGTTAATGTTTCCGTTACAACATATACGAATCTAAATAAACACATATCATTATACAAACGTAATCTTATATTTTGCCGCAACACTTTTTAATCGTGGGAGAATTTTTCTCTGCCGTAAGCCCATTTATATTTGGCGCAAATCCAAACAGCGAGTAATACTCTGACGTAAGCGAAATAGTGAGTTTCGGGATTACCCACGTGAAAACTATTTGATGGAAATGCTGATAAATGTTTTCATTTTTATATCATCCGAGAAAATTACATAAATTTCATTTTGAAAACTTAGGCCAGGGACAGTATAGTATACGTCCCTGCTTAGGCTTAGGTGATCCGCCACTGCCGTGTACCGGTTTAGGTAACGTACCAATTTGGGTAGCATGTGACGTAATGCATGTTACTTGATCTTCAAAATGTGTCATTAAACTATAAAGTATTTTGGAATATTTACTTAGTGCCATTTTTTGTATAAAACATTCAGTAAATACTTATGCAAAAGGTAACACATGTTCAGGTACAATCAGGTCAATCAGGTTCTCGTTCTTATCAATACCACGTCCCTTTTAAGGTCTTTAGTAAGGCCCCAATTTTGGCGGGGTAAAGTGTCATATTTACTTGGAAAAGACGACTGAACTTCAAAAGTGAAAGTAACTGGACATCGAGTATGGCAATGGGGTACACCTTCCATTACACATTCTGTAAGTTTTATTTCATTAACTTTATGCTAGGCCTATTCATAGACTGCTTTTCATCCTCATTTATTTTTCATATCCAAACGCGAAGTCAGCATCATCGCGCAATCGGTCAAATTACCCATTCATTCACGGATGCCGTAAACAGTTCTTGTCACACATTCCGCGCCCAATTATGTCGTCAGCGATTGTGGGAGATTTGATGATAATAAATGTAGGAAATTTATTTGTTGAGATACTTTATATACATACAAGTCCAGTGCACTCAGCCGTTTGACCTAATTTGCTTTTTCGTTGTTCTACTTCTAACCATATACTTGCCTACTTCATGTAGTAGTGAAACTTCCACAGGATGAAGATTATGCAAGTGACATGTGTGTGAGCATACTAGGGGAAAAATAATTAATTAGTACATTTGAAGGAACTAATGGCAGATTTAAAGGAAGAGAGTGCAGCACTTTATGACAAGGTATAGGATAGGAGGGAGAGAGTTCCACTGAGGAATTGTTCTTGGAAAGAAGCTTTCTTTCCGAGCAGTGGTTTTACAGGTAAGAGTTTGGAATGAAAGGTGTGACAGTGTCGTGAAGTTCTGACAGCTGAAATAAGAACAGAGGAACGTACAGAGATAAGGTTATTGACTGTTTTGTATATAGCATGGTGAGGCAGGCATCACAGGTACCAGCCTCGTCTGTAAATACACCTATAATATATATTGACCACATCAAACTTGTCTGTCAAACTAAACTTCTATATCTTCATTAAGGCATTTGTAATAGTAAACTGTTGCGTCTAAGGAGCTGGCAGTTAATTTAAAACACCTGACTTCAGTTACACCCGAGAATGATGGAAACATAGATCTACATTCAGAAGATTCAACATTTCGAAAACATCAAACGTACATCTCTTAGATATACACAAATGAAAAAATTCCACCGCGATGGGCTTTACAATCTCCCGGAAACTGACATCAACTCACGTCGCACACTTAAAAAAGACAAGAGGGAGAAGGTTCCGACGTAAACACCAAACTGTCAAGACCATTCCCAGTGGGCACAAAACGTTGTATAGACGTCGGGAGGACGTCGTATTGTGGTCGCGACGTCGGTAACCTTATTCTAACGTCGAAAGGACGTCGTATTGTAAAAATGTGGTATTTTACTGGATTGTTTGTCATGAAGTATGATATTTCCCTGAATTGTTCAATAATAGCCACTGACTGTAGTGCCACCAGTGTGACAGTAGTTTAAATGTTGTAAATATCTTGGAGTTGTCAAACGCATGTTTTTAAACACAATGTCCATTCAAACGGTATTTACTCTTATTTAAGTGTTTTCCAGTGTTCAGTATGGTTATTATTCAGATGTAAATACCTTGATTATCTTGGTTAATCGTTAGTCCAGGGTAAGAACCGTCTGGAGAGAGTGAGAAATGTAATGTTTTTGCAGAGAACGTATACCCTGCTAGTGTGTATGGACGTCGCCATTTTGTGAACTCTCGTGACCTCTTGAACTGTGTCAGTCGGGGTCACTTGAGTGTTTATTCCGGTGTGTATTGAAAGTATTGGATATATGGGATTCGATGGAAATATGGGATGCGTTGGAAGTATTGGATTGCGAGTCAGAGAGTGAATAACGGTACGAAAGAGTTGTAGATGTGGGTACTATGAAATACTATATATTAATGTTGATTTGTGAAGTATTTTTCATACAAGTGCCAATGTAGATCGTCGTATTTTATTTGGGTTCAACGGGTACTACGTTGCGAGCAACGGGTGTGGAGCCGTTACCTCTTCGGAGTCCGCTGGGGAAGGGGTGTTGCCCCGTTGAGCTCGTGCGTTGCCCCGTTGATGTTAGCGTTCTTACCAGGGGCGTAGAGATCCCTTGGGGCGTTGGGAAATCGGTTGCGATCGTATATTCTGAGGGGGAGGTTGGTTTTGAGCTGCTGGCGGCTACTACACGCTTGGATCGTTCCAAAACCGTGGAGCTGTCACTATGCTTGGTTTGTAGGATAAGGGAAGCAACTCGTAGAATAGAATATGGGGATGGACGGGAGATTTTAGTAATATTAACATTAATGGAAGATAATTTAACTTTGTCTTTCTAGCGTACTTTTGGTGGTACTTTTGGTGTTTCAGACAACAGAGTTTGACTTTAGAATCATTGATTCATAGAGCCTAGTGATCAGAATAATTCTAGATCTATATTTTATCCATTTGCTAATCCTATATTAATTCATATAGAGTTGGGATTTTATAGTATTCATTCATTGGCACTTGGTTCATTTCTGTTATTAGCTAAACTACAGTAGGGATAAATAGACTTGTTTTGTCCCCTACATATATCAGAAAGTTCTGGTATCCAGGGTTCAGACATAGTTCTACCTTTATTGTACATCATA